CATAGCAGTGGAAAAAGGTTTTAATCCATATGTTGTTGACAGAGCTGTCATAAACGTAAAAAACAGGGATACAAATATTAAGTTAAAACTATTTGCTGAAAACAAAAAGTAAGAAAGATGTTTAGTACTATCATATATACCTGGTTCATCTTGTCAAATAACGAAAAAAATTAAAAAACAAATAAATATTTTTCCGATGTACAAACCGATAAATAAAGTTAGCGAAATTCTTAACACAACTAAAAATAAAATTGACTTAATGGAAAAAAATTCTTAATACAACTAAAAATAAAATTGATTTAATAGGAAAAAATTATTTTAGCACAATCTGGAAATGTAATTGGTATGAATATAGGTGAATCTATTGAGATAATTAAATGTAAAAAAGTAAATTTAAATTATTGAATAAGGATGATGGACGTGATGGAAATGTTGTCAGCAGATGGCGTGAAATTCTTTAATATGCAAATTGGTGTTTTGATAATTGTGTAAATAAGTGTTATTTTTAGCAAAACATTACACTCCTGAGGATGACGCAAGATATACTTCGAAACATGTAGAGTGTATAAGATTGTTTTCCAGTCTGATCGGGCTTTTTTTACCACTTTTTAACTTTGTACAGTAATTTATTATTCTAATAATTTGGAGACTGTAAACAATCTAATTTTTAGTAGAATTGTGTATAAAATAATCGTTGTTTTTTAAAAACAATTAATTTTTAAGATTGAACATTACACACGTGTCCAAAATAATTTTGATAAAAAAATCAAAGGATATTTAAAATAGCACTTACGTCTTCCATGTCCTTTAGCTTAAGGAGGAATCCTTGTGTGGTCTTCAGTTTTTCTTTGATAGAGTTTTTGTTAATTAATGGTTTCATTGTTCTGGCCATAGTAGCGATGTGATCCTGAAAATAAATTTTATTTGCTTTTGAATACTTTTATAGATGTTGGAAACGTTTATATTGGATTTCACATGTTTTGTTTTTGCTTAGTGTATTACATAATATAATAAGTTAACGTGTGCATAAAATGCTTTCAAATATTGACCAATCAGCTAGAACGTACACAGAGTCTAGTTAGAGACTCTCACTCACGTTTTTCATAATTTTAAATATTTTAAGTAAGCTCAGTATTTTTATCCATGTGTTATTTATTAAAATAAAAAGAGAATACAAAGTTTTATTTTTCAAGCGCAACATGACACGAGCCTTGGACCCTCAGATTCATAGTCCGTCAAGTTGAACTCTAGTCCCTGTTTGGCTATACGAGACAGGAATAAGCTTATGCTTCACTATTACAAGAACTACCTTTCATCAGCTGACACATTTCCAATAACTGATTTCGACTTATCACATTATTTTAATCATTTTTTGATTAAGAATATCAATACAGCATAACATATAATTACTTTATATACCTAATGAACTAGTTTTTTCCTTATCATCCGAAAGTACAATTTTATTAAAATTATTTTACTTGTTGTAAGAGTGAAAAATTAGTAACGGTAGTTGGTCCCTCGATTAAGTTCGCAACTCTAAAACTTTATAAGCCTTAATAATGTTTCCTTTACATGATGTTTATATCAGTGTTTACTCCTTCGTTGGTTGTTTGAAAACTTTGTGAACTATTTTCGAACAGGATCACTTCACTGTTTGGAAAGCATATCCAACCGATGATTTATTATTGTACCACAATCATTCAGTGTTTGATTTACTCCTGCACCACAATTATTTCAGTGTTTGAAAAGCA